GCCTTTCTTTCCGTGCATGCTGCAAATGAGTATCGCCTCTTCAACAATGCAAAAATCTCTCTAAGCATGCGCGCGTATTTCCCTCCTGCGATATAAGTAAATGTTTTATCATCAAGGTATCTTTATATTTCGAAAGTTTTATTATTAAAGAATCTCACTTTCGATTGAGAAATTCGATTTGTATATCGATGTAATAGCAAAATTCACGGAGCGCGGAAAACCAAATCTCGTAAAGGTTCTTACCTGACTCACTATCGGCATCGTCGCCATCCGCGGTTCTTCAGTGTAACGATTCCCGTGTTCGTCCTGGCCCCATCCCACGACGTATCCCACCTTGTTGTGGATGTCCTGAAGATCGGTCGATTTGGACCACAGACAAATAGGTTTGATGAAAGCGCTGAACTCGACGGGCATCCTGAGGGTCAAAATCGCCAGATCGGAGTCGCCGGTGGCCGCGTGCACATAGTCGGGATGGATCTTGTAGCTCGCGATCTCTCGATTGACTGTTCCCTTTTCGCGAAACTGGCGCAAGTGGAACCGCCCCAAAGCAACCTCCAACAAGTTGGGGAGTATGGTATCGTTGTTAGTGAGGCTCAATTTCAAGCAATGCGCCGCTGTAAAAAGAAAACATTCTTGAAATACATTCACTTGTAACCCTGCACTGTCTGTCGAGAAGGAATTTAAAGAAACGATAAATATAATTCAAAGATATTCTCGCATCTGCTTATCCTCTTAACAATAATCGGAAAATATTACGCTGAAATATCTAATAAATCAACAAATAATTATCCCAAATAATTTCGTGTGCACTTTTTAATAATATTCGGATCAATCATAAATATATATAAAATTTTATAAAATCATATTTATATTTATTTACTTATATTTAGTAAAAAAAAAAGTAAAAAAAATTATAAAATTATATTCATAAAATACGATTATACGAATAAGTCTAAACAAATCGCTTGCGAGCCAAGAAAAGAAGTAAATGTAACATAAGAAACTCGTTTCGTACTGTGAAATACTAGCGATATGTACTTTTTCCTCTTCAATTAATATACCTGTTAGAACATGTTTTGTAGTCAAAACAGAACCTGCACACTGAAACTCGTATCCCTTTTTTACGACGAAGAGTGCCACCAGCCACGGCCACTGACCTGGCAATGTCTTCTCTCCGTTAGCGATCAGAAGATTTGTGGCCCCGCTGTGGCCGCTGATGCCACATTCGTTATAATTATTATTATTGTTATTATTATTGTAATGTCGAGTTGGTTTAACCGTAGTAGTCCATGAAAACGGCGTGAAAAACATATTTTTGTTGGTATTACTATTGCTATTGATTTTTCGGGTTAGTATAACCGGGGTTGTCGGCCGGAATATGTTACTGTTGTTGTTAAGAAATATGTTAGTGTATCGTGGGGGTGATTGGCTCGGACCCGGACGCAAGAATACGTTCTTGTTAATTTCTTCTTCGGAAAGAGTGACGCCGGTGGTAAAGGGGTTCTTCTGAGTGTTGTGTTGACGCGGTGGTATCGGTGTCGGTCTCAGATTTACATTCGGATTCGGCGCGAAATTCGGTAGATACAGAGTATGTTCCAACGTGATAGTAGTTATAATACTCCCCGTTGCTGAAACAAAACGTAAAATGCTGTTCAAGCCGCACGTTTTATAGAGTATGAAAATTTCGAGTGCCCACCTGCAGAAATACATAAGATTTACGAACAATTATCAAATATATAATATAAAAAAGAATTTACAATGCTATATGATTACAGGGGTGATCAAACGAATAAAAACAAATGTCTATACGAAGAAAAATAATTATTATTTATTTCTTACATTCTTTACGCATTCTGTGGTTGCATACTCGTCGCAAACAGCATTTTCGCGTGCATACAAAATTTCTTAGTCTTCCTGCGTTTATATGTATGCATTATAGTGTACCGGGCACCCTGACACCCGGATATTGGACGTTGTGAATTCCGATTATTGACAGCAGGGTTAATGAACTTTACCTTCCAATTTATCTTTGCCGTCTTATTGTTAATTGCAAATTACGTATAATTAGATACAAAATAAGAAAGAACTAATTTATGACTCGAAAGAATATAAGTCTGTAATTGTTGTTCCTTTTATCATCAAACATGTGACATTTATTTTATAAAAAAAAACTTACGATTGGAACCCGAGCAATATTGTGCACCGTTGAACCACATCCCAGACAATGTCGGAATCGGGTCGCGTAAAGGAAAATGAATGTGATACGACAAATGCCTGCCCTGTTGAACAGCTTGAGCAGATTCCTCTTTCGATCGTGCCAATTCCAGTCGACCGACGTATCTCTAAAACACGTTCATGATTAAGATACTTCCATTTATTAGTAAAAAGTCTTACCAGATCAAAAAATTTTAAACTAATTTTTAAATTATTTCTTAATCGTCCATTTTTAACCACTCTTAAAATATACAGGAATAAATATCTTCTCTTAAAAAAAATTACTTTAAATTATATTTTGGTCATTTGCAAGTATATATTCTTTCTTTTAGAATACGCTTTAAAAAGACTTTTTTTCTTTGAGACATTTGTTTAATTAAATTTTGTTCTAAAAATACTTTAGAGAAAAAATTTAACTTTCTGATTAAATATTCCATGTGTTAAAATTTATAAAAAATTCTCTGCATTAACGGTTACTTTATGCGTGCAAATTTCTTTCCTAATATTAATAATGTGAAAAAAATATTCTTACCGTAGGCAATTCAGCGGCGACTTTTAAGGTCACTCTCATATGAATTTCATCAGTTTTGGGTGGAGATTGAATTTCGATATGTCCTATTGTTTCGTTTGTTCCGGGTTTAGTTATGTATGTGAAATATTGTGGACACGGAGATTGCTGTCCTTGTACTAGCGTGTAGAGCAACTGCGGTAGCAACGCGATGAGAATACAAATCTTGCAATTAGCCATCTCGCGTAGCTCTGTTACAAACATAACAAAATATATGATTTATAAATGTGCTTCATTTTACAAATGGTTTTTAATATTTTATTTAACAATTTCGAAATAACTATTATTAATCAGAGTGATCATCAGTGATATTTTGAATTTAAAAAAAAACTTGGTGATTGTTTCAAAGGAACTTAAAAAAATATACAGGGTGGTCTAAAAGTCCCGGAACGGTTGAATATCCCGAGAAATTGTGACTGGATCGGAAAACGGAAAAATACGTATTTCCTATTTTTGAAAGAGCTATCGAATGATACCAAAATTGACCCCCCACCCCCACCCCTGTGGGTGGGGCGGGGGGTCAATTTTGGTATCATTCGATAGCTCTTTCAAAAATAGGAAATACGTATTTTTCCGTTTTCTGATCCACCCACAATTTCTCGGGATATTCAACCGTTCCGGGACTTTTAGACCACCCTAT